ACACACACACACACACACACACACACAGTGAGACCACAACCACTGTTCTACTTCACGTCCACTGTGTCTCCGCCTCATAACCTTCCGTCATTGTCTTGTCATTTCTCATCCACCACTCTGCTCCCTTAACCTCAACCTCGTCCCCTTCTATCCCTCTCTCTTCTTTATCCATCCATCCATCAACCCATTGTACTGTATATATACACCTCTTTAGTTGTGAGGACCAATTTTGGTCAATTATCACAATTTCAGAGTGAAAGAAAGAGAATTAAAGACAGACAAATATGTGTGTGCTGTAATGTGGTTGTAGTTAACTTGTGTAACAGGTTCAAAGGTTCAAAGGTGAAACGGGGAAGACATAATAAAGATGTGAGAAAAAGAGAGGGAGGATAAACTGATGATATTTTACACTCGTCCTGTTATAAAAGCTGAAAACGATCCTGCATCACTTGTTTCTCTGTGAGTTCTCCAGTTCACACGGTCTCATTGTCATGAACCTTGAACTTGCTGAATTGACTTCCTCTTCAGCGACATTCACTAAAAACCACAGCACCCTGAAGTTTGGAGCCTTTAGATAAAGTATCATCTGTGAAAAAGTGTTATGAAAAGTTCTTATATAATAATAGGGAAAGGAGGATAAAGTTAAAGTTAGCAGTGATAGAATAAGAGAGAGATGGAAACTAGAGAAGGAGAGAGAGAGAGAGAGTGTGTCTCTACCATCAACACTTAATTTTAACCTGCTGATTAACATGGATTGAAAAAGAAGGATTGCTTCTGTGTAAATAAACTTTATAATAAAGAGAAAATATTAAATTCAAGCAACAACATAACAGACTATCATCGAGAAACTTAATTAATTTCACTTGACAATGACAGTTCCCAACCTCAGATTTTTTATTTTTAGATTTCAATTAAAAGCCCTCGGAAACATCATATCGTCTGTTTCGGTTGTGAGATTCTTACGGCTCTGACAAGATGACGTCATCGAAACGATGGCAGAGGGCAGTGAGATACTGTAACTGCTTGTGTATTAGTCTGAGTTATTGTCCCAGTCCGCCCCCGATGTACACACAGTAGTTTCCACAACCCACACACACAGACACACAACGCAACAGACACGACCATACACCAAGAAGTAAAATATGTGCAACATCAGGAAAAGAGAAAAACCATCAACACATCAAATCCTCGTTCCAATTAAAAACCAAAACACCTGCCGACAAAGTTTCTGACAAAAACAACCACACACACACACACACACACACACACACACACACACACACACACACACACACACAGTCAAACAAACCAGCCTCATCAAAAGCAGTAGAGAAATGACCCCCCCCTCTCCGCAGTGACACGCAGGTTAGATACACACTGAGCTGACTCTCTTTTCAAAACAGCAGCTTCACTCTTTCATGCAGTTTCTCTTTCTCTGTTTTTCTCAATCCCTCCATCTCTTCTCCTCTCAAGAAGAAGAAGAAGAAGAAAAATCCCAGACAAAGGCTTTTGTCTCTGTTTGCATCAGAGCGAGCTCTGGAGATGAAGAGGCTGAGTGACAACGACAGAAGGAGAAAGAGAAGGTAGAAGACAGTTAAAAGGGGGAGAGGAATAGAAAAGAAGCTTCAGGCATCAAGAGATGAGATACATTTGGTAGAGGGGATGACGAGACACACAGAAGGACAAGTTGAGACAAAAGACAAACGGAGGAGATGAATGTGAAGTGAGTTTAAGAGCAAAAACCGATGAAGAAGAAAAGAAAATAGAAACAACGGGTCAGAAAAGGAAGCCTCGAGCATGACGGAGAGAGAGAAGAAGAAGAATCCTCAAGCTGTAACAAGCACATGGGTTCTCGACCCTCTAATACAACCGACAGGAACGTCTCCTGAATTTAGCGTCTTCGCAGCATCGGTCGAACTGGACCTTCGTCGTCATGGTAATGAATAATAACGAACACAGTCACCGTTTCTCTAAGTTCAGTTCAATGTCAGTTCAGGAAAAGATAAAATGGTAAAACTTCATGCTTCCTTCATTGTACAATATTGAGCACAGACGTAAGACGATCATAACATTGCTACTGCTGAATATCCTGTTTGGTCGATCCATCCACGTTCTCGCTCTTTGTACCGTTAAGCTGACTTTGCCCCTGTCATAACCACGATGGCCACTAGAGGTCGACGAACAATAGAACCTAACTATGGGTCGTGATAGGCTGCTCAGCGGACGCCCTCGTGATAGACCGACGTTAAAGTAAAACGTCAACAGAGGAATATGAAAACACAGCAGAAGAGAGAGAGGCCAGTCTGAGAGTCGACCAAGAAGCGGTTAGAAAACAGATTTAAAGTAAAAGCTACAGACAAAAACGAAGCTGGAGGAACAGACGAGGCCTCACTCACCTGCACACTTTGTCCTGGTGACCAGCGGCGGCCCCGGAGGCCCCGTTCCTCCCTCCCCGGGTCTGGAGAGCAGGACCTTGATTTCGTACTCCACGTCTGGGTCCAGATGCCACAGCTTGTAGGTGGGGGCGTCGACCACGTGGCTCTCCGCCCAGTTCCCTGACGTGGTGCGGTACTCCACCTCCTTCAGGATGATCGGCCCGTCGCCGATGATGCTGTTGGCGTTGGGTTTGATCCAGAGGTAGGTGGCGCCGACGGCGAGAAGCTCGGGCGGAGCAATGGGGGTGGGCGGAGCTGTTGAGTGGAAACAGAGGTGTTTAGTTAAGTGTGTTTTTTTTTTTTTTCTTTTTAAAAACCACAGTATCTTCATGGCGTCCCCGTTGGTTTGTGAGTGGCAATCAGAAAACAATTACATCAGCCTGTTTGGACTGTAACTGCACCCCCACCTGAGCTCCTCACCGCTGAATTCAAATGAATCACTGAACTCATCTTCCCCCTGAAAACCACATTAAAGTCCAATCAGTGGAGCCGACGCGTGTGATGCTGCAACAAATGAATGGATGTTTTTCGAGATCACCCACACACACGCTCCCACACACACTTGGGGCTCTCGGTAATTTTCAAAAGTAACATTACAATATGTAATTTCATTACGTGGAGGTTTATTCACCACGTGCCTGTCCTGATATTCTCAAACCTCTGTGGATTTCACCGATGAAAATAAACCATCAATATCTAGTTTTACACTTTCTGCCTGTACCTCTGGGCTCTTATAGACCCTCCAAATGTGTTTTAAATTATAATGTGGAAAGTGTGATGTGAATTTAAAGGAGACACAGTTTAACTTTACATTTAAAGCAGGTATAAATGGAGGCAGACATTTCAGAGAGTGAATTCTCTACCTGTACTAATCCATCACGTTCCTGACATGTTGCTGACAGCTACTTTGCCACCAGACTTTCACATTATGCTACCCGGAAAATAATGGCCTCTGTCAAGTCTAAAAAGCAAAAGATATTTTATTACTCCCTGCTGTTGTTTTTTTTGTTTTTTTATATTTTCAGTATAAAACCTGTGACAGCAGCTTCTTTCCAAAGTATGATATCTAACATCCAGGGGAGCAGATCACTGGAATGATGTAAAACTGCAGGATGTCAGCAGAAAGGTAAGTTCTCTGAAAGACAATAACCTATTCAAGAGTTTAAAAATTCCAAATGTAAATATATGGTAACTAGTTATATTCCATAAATGAATAGGTGTGGTTTAAATGCCTGCCTGCTAAAGAATGACAGGGCTGGATATTCCTGATCTGAAGGATCTGATTGATTTATCGGGTTGATGAGGATTTTTATTGACGAGTCAACAAAGTCAGTCTGCAGAGCATCTTTCTTTACAACAGGTGGCGCTGCGCAAACCAAAAACACTCTACATACACCATATATTTTAAACTGATTCATCAGAGAGGTACGTTCACCACGATACTATAAATCCAATTCCCAACAAACATGGTCGGGGGATGGGTCCTGTTTTTCTGATGTGGATTAAAGGGGCGGATGAAGGATTTTATGTTATTACTGATATTTTACATTTCAGAAACAAGGGCGTCATGTGTAGGACTGCTGGGCTGTGGTGTTCATTGATTTCTCTAAGGCTATATTTGAAAGCGTGCAGCCTCCACAGGGGGTGAAGGTGGTTTCCAAGAAAAGCCGTTATTTGACTCAGCAGCTGCAACACTGAAAATTTAAAGTAAATTCTAAACAACATTTCGTAAGAATCTGGATTTATTGCTAGAAAGAAAGTGTGAAATGCTGCATTTCCATTCCCTAAGTGGAAAAGAAGACACTGAAATGTAAAACGGGTTAAATGAAAAAATAGAAATGTCGTCACTTCACTATGATGTTACTTTATATTAATTATTTTTTTCAGTCTGCTCCAGCCTGAAGTGAAGGAGAGAAGTTTGGAGCACCTCATCATGTCTTGACTTAAACATCAGGAGAAATATGATTCTACATATAATATATATATAAATGTGTCGACCGTATAACCACATCATAAGGAGTCCGGCTGATAATCTTTGATAAACTTAGTTTCATGTCCTTCTCTTCCCTGATTTAGTTTCACTTCTCTGCCGTCAGTCATCATATAAAAAGATATAAAAAATATGCAGGAAGCTCTTCAACAGGTGGACGTTAACAAATTCTCCGTATTTCATCACCACAGTGATTTGTTCAAGCAATATGACAGAACTTTATTTTTATTTCTAATTAAATCCACTTTGGTCCAGCGTCTCGTCTCATATGTTGTTTTTCAATCATAGAAGTCAAGCGAATCAGTGACATCCGCGATGTGCAGCTGAAATGATGATGTATCACGACCACAGACTCCATCCACTCATTATTTTAATACAACGAAATGCAACGAGGCTCAAAGAGAAAAGCTTGGAGGACGAAGGGCCGACCGTTGAAGCAGGCAGCGCCGTGAAAATTAACTTCACTCCGTATACTAACGGTTTTCAAAAGCTGCCGCTAAAAGAATCATTTTAAGATTGAAGTATTAATCTTCTTCTGTCAGCCGAGAGCTTTGTTATGCGAGCTAAGAGTAATGGCTCCTGTCTTCCTGCTGTTAAAAGCAAAGATCTCACTCTGCAAGTTTTCCCTTTTTTTAAAATTTCTTCAAGGCTCCATTAGAATATGTATGATGGCTGAGGTACCGATGATTCAAGTGTCAGTCACCACACGCTCATCCATCTCAATCGGGTGCATCTGTACGTGTATTTGTAGAGTAGAAGGAAGTCAAAGTAAAGAAGATTATGTATTTTAACGCATCCCCTGCACATCTGCAGAGAGAGGAACATGAAGTTCACAAAGATTCCTCATCTTAAAGCAACACTGGGTCGTCTTTATTCCTTAAAATAACAACTTCGGAATCCCTCTGATGACACACAAACTCATAATGAGGGGAATGATGTGTCTGTCGGTGCCTCAGCGCCCCCTGGTGGCAACGCAGAAAATGTTACACACAAACAACAAGAGTCCGAGCTAGCAGCCAGCTAAGAGAGACAACTAGCCAACCGAAGAGCTAGCTGTCGACCTGTCATTCCGAACTTCAGCTGGTTTGTCTTGTGCAGTTCTTCTTGATGTTGTCGACTCACTGGTTTATCGTGAGAAGCAGATAAACATCATGGTCGGACATCAGTGACTGCGTCGGCCACTTTCTTGCCGTGTTAGCTTGAACTGAACTGTTCTACTCTGAGTCGAGTGCAGTGAACGCGCAAACCTCGTCGGCCTCTCGGTTCTTTGGCTTCGAGTTTTTTTTCTCCGTCAGCTTGTCCATAAATCCAGCGTGTGGCTCAATCAGACCACAACTCGTGTACACAACAGTGTAATTACACACCCCGCCTGTAGGGGGAGCCAGAGTATACCCGAGGGCGAATCCTGCATTGTGTCATTTTAGTCGTAATTATTCTTCGTCTGGTTTGGTGACAGTGTTTTGCTTTAAAACATAAAATGAAGAAATAAAAGTCTTCATCATCCCACTCACTCTGTGTCTTTTCATTTTGTGTGTCACATTTTCTGAAGTTAGTTATGAAAGAGGATTTTTTTTCTCAAGAGCGATTCAGTAGAAGCAAACGATGCGTTCTAGTCCAGCTGCAATTTTCCTTCACTTCCTGTGAGCAAGTTTTAATAATCACATAGAAAACGTTTTTCGTTTCTTCGACAATATTCAAACATGTGAAACTCAACTCGACGTCATTTGCGGGAGCTGCAGTTAGAAAACCAAATATGCAGAATCACTGACACGTTCCTTCCTTTAACGGGGTTCTGTTCACTGGGTTTTAACAACTGCTTTAACACGCTCACATCCTCATTAACATCATTTACATTCTACAACTTCTCCTGATGTTACTCCACAGGAACAAAGAGCGAGCTCGTTCAGTCACTCCCTCCGTCTGTTTCCTCCCCCCTTCCCTCCCTCCGCCAACTCGTTCACCGCGGAGAGTTACAGAGGCCACCCAGTGACTCACAACCTGGCACCCACCATGACATGAGCGAACACACACACACACACACACACACACACACATTCATACAGAAACACAGGTTTTGTTGATACTAAATAGCTGCACGTATTTATATTTATATCCATCGAACACGTAATAACACCCACAATATGAAAAGCCTGTGCTTGCATGTACGGACGGATAAAGATTGAAATACACACACACACACACCTGCGTCCTTACATGAATACAGAAAATAGGACACACACACTTCATGCAGTGATACTCGTGAAGTGTGAGAGGAAGGATGAAGAAAGGAGGGAGGAAGAGTGGAGGACATCGGTGGGCAATGGCTTTTGAGTTCTGTTAAAGAAATGGATGGATGTGGAGAGAAGGATGAACTGATGAGGGAGCACCAGTCGTTATTTCTTTAATGTTTGTTATGTAACAAGACGCACAAAGTTAGGTGTGACTTCATGGATTTCAACAGAGACGTGTGCAGGACTGGTCCTCGTGTCAGACGTGATGTAATCTCTGCAGCAGCCGTGCTCAGGCTGTAATAAAAACAAGCCGTGCTCATGAAGTTTTCAAATGGGTTACAGCAGGAGGACAGCACTGTCACTCTGGACCAATAAACACCTCTGTGTGTTTGTGTTTGTATTTGTATATGTGTATATGTGTATATGTGTGTGTGTGTGCAGCAGCCATGGCCCCATAAAGGTTTTATCGTGCGTATCCTGGGGCCTTGTTGTCAGAGGACGCATCGCACACTCAAAAGCGACCTGTGTTACTACACCCTGAAGGTACAGAGTATATGGCTCTACATTTTACTGCTCTGCATTTGAGTCCCAGCTTGATGTTTGTGTGTGTGTGTGTGTGTGTGTGTGTGTGTGTGTGTACATCAGATGCCCAGATGTCTTTGTTCTTTGTTTCTCTGACTCGTTCTGAGCCACCTAAGATAAAATAAATGAGCGAAACTCCTGCAGCTGGTCAGGAGTCAGTTCTGAAAGATGCTGAGCCAGAACATTTCCAATAATGATACATCAGCTGGAATGTATATCACTATATTATATTATATAGCAACGTAAATGCACATCTTCTCCGCTGTTGCTCCGTTGTTTATTCGACATAATGAAAGTCAACGACCAGCTCATATCAGCGGAGCTCTGACATAAAGAACGTCTAAATCCTGAATTATCAGATAGTGTGTTGTGGGAAAAAGACAAAGTAGAATCCATTTTGTTCTCAGAATGAAGAGCTTTTCAACAGACTCATTTCTGATGGAGAGAGAGAG